CACACACACACACACACACACACACACACACACACACACACACACACACACACACACACACACACACACACACACACACACACACACACACACACACACGCACGCACGCACGCATACGGGCGCGCATGCCCACACGCACATGAATTATGGTTGCTTTTCTTTTAGGAGACACAGTCGACACATTTGATACAAATAGACACATTGCTTTCCATTTACAATTTTGTTCAAACTGAATCGACACACTTCGCTAGGAAGGAGAGTCAAAATATTAAATGCGATTTTGACAAATTTAACGATATTAGAAAGTACGCAAAGAAGATACGCAAATCAGTTCTTATCATTTTGTTCTGTTCTATGCCCAACTTTGATTAAAATCTTTTAAAAGATTAGATATTAAAAGTTCGTACATATATTGCGCATATCGCGTTCCATTTAAATATGGCAAACTGTGTCGATTTATAAAAGGAAAACAGTCTATATATTAGGTGTACAACTTTGCTTCCGCCGTTTTCCTATAGATGGCTTTAGCGGTAAGTGGTGGTCGAAATAAATAGATCATAGACGTCATACAATAAACTTAGGCATCTGTCAACATAACCCCATAGAAACATTAATCGATTTGTGTCTGCATAAAGTTATTCTCGATTGAAAATGTCAGTTTACGAGCCAAATTCTCGTCATTTGCGGGAGGTTTTAATTTTTTGCTTCAATACGAAGAAATCTGCGGCTGAGGCTCATCGAATGCTCTCAAATATTTATGGTGAGGTCGCTATTAGTGAAAGAACGTGTCGTGAGTGGTTTCAATGCTTCAAGAACGGTGATTTTGACGTCCAAGGTCATGCTCTGTATTTGGTGGGACCAGCTCGGCGTAGTGTATTATGAACTGTTAGAACCGACTGAAACAATCACAGGCGATCGGTATCGAACGCAATTGATGCGTTTGCATTGAAAGACAAACGGCCGCAAATACAACGAGAGACACGATAAAGTGATTTTGCAGCATGACAATGCTCAACCCCATGTTGCGAAAGTGGTCAAGACATACTTGGAAACGTTGAAATGGGAAGTCCTACC